CCACCCCTAGTCTACGTGGGTCCTCTTGCAGTACACTTGTTTTGACCACGACTTCATTGGACAGTTGTTTCAAATTTAGCTTTAACTTTAGAAATGTTTTTTGCAATTTCACCAGTCCCTTTGAAATTTTTATGGAAAAGAAATTATTTTACCATGTACTAGCCTTTAATGTCAACGCCTGTGTAATTTGAAACTTTTCACCAACAATGATTAGCGATCACGTGGTAGCAATAGGCCCTTTCGTGCAAGACAGTTTTAAGACGTGGCGCTGATCTCAGTTTACTGGGAAATAGTATTTAGTCCTAACGACTCTTGTTTATCCAACAGTCATGTTGTGTATAACCGCGTTGCTTTGGCTAAACATTATTTACTAGATAAGTAGGTTGAGTATGATCGTCCGGGTGAACGTGGTCCTGAATAGGACTGTTGTTTGACGGTGACTGAAACTTCGACAACCTGTGCGGTGTTCATTTGAGAGTCAAAGTGTGTTATTAAGCTCTGGTTATTGACCTGATTGGCCAATTAAGTCGCGATGTTATTGGTCGTCTGTCAGTTAAGCCGTGATCGCGATATGAATTGGTCGTCTGCGTTTCGATCCGTCCGTGATGTTATTAGACGTATGAAGGCTCGTGATGTCATGAAACGGCGGCCATGTTGGTGTCCCAAACCAGCTGGGAGTTGAACTCTTTTCGATCCGTCTATTGTTACAAATAAACAATTGTTTACTAGACTGAAAAAGTAAAAACCACATTCTAATGTTTTACAAATTAAAGCAGCCACCTTACGCCTTGAGAACCTCTCCGATAATTCCTTTGATTTCTAAAGCCGTAAAGCATGGTCTATTTCTTTGTTTTTGTCGTAGCTTGGGTTTAAATGGAATTAAAGTGATAGTCAAAAGTCTAGGATCTGGATTTCACTTGCCTGTTCCTGGACTTCCTCGATATGACCTGGTAAGCAAAATAACTGTAGTAAAATCTAAAAGCCTTTAGGCAACCCCAAGAGACTGTCTCTTGATACATCTTATTTTAAAGTGGAGGCCATGTTACTTTTCCTTCATATTTATGTTAATTGTTCACTTTTCCTCGATTTCATCTGCAAAATTCAGTCGAACGAGGCAAGTTTCCCGTTTTTCATCATGGTTATCGTACATTCGCACAAAGCAAAGAGATAACCATGTAGCCGTGGCGATTTTCAGTAAAAGATCACAAAGACACGTCAAAATGTGGTGAGAATATCAGTGACGTCATTTTATGTTATTAGCACATTTTTACGAAATCTGTGATCTATTGCTGAACAGACAAACTGCAACATAGAATTTACTTGTTTACTGTGTGTATGTTAGTCGCCCTTTTACCTTCGGTAAACTGCCCCTTATAAAACCCCTACCCCCCCCACTTCCATTTATTGAAATGAATTCGACTTATTATGACGTTTTGAAGCGTAATTGAAAATCAGTAAATGCATGCAAAACGTCTTTAGTTCAGCACTGCTATAGCTAGTTTCGAAGCACCCTTTCTATTCCGGTTATAAGCTCCCTCGGATATAAGCCCCTCCGTTAATAAGCTCTCTTAAACCCCTTACGAATATGTATCAGCGGCAGTCGGTTTACCGTACATTAATTAACACGCTGGCGCATATGATCTTAGACAGGTCAGAGGAGAACAGCGGAACGAAACCAGGAGGTTATCGATTCGGCTAAAAAGCTTGGCTACCAAGCGGTAGATACTTTTAGCATGACTGTGTCGAGGTACAAAGACTTCCTACTGGGGAACTGTGGCTGCCACTTCCATAAGGTAACTCGAATGAATTCTGTGTTCACGTCTCAAGCTCACTGATAGGGCTGTGTTGCACGGCTGTCTAGTTCATTTGATCAAAATTGCCACTAAATTGTGGAACTTAACGTTAGCGAAGAAATTACTGGCAAATGACAAAAACTGAAGTTTCTTGTCCAATAGAATTACTTCCCGAACATTGTAGCAAACGTTACAAACAACAGAAATGAACTTTGAACAACTGTTAGCCAAACAAGTTCCTCCACCCGTGCCTTCTTCTACATTTTCTGGGTGATTTAGACCTCTTTTATATTTTGAGCGGTTATTTTTATGTTTCACTCATTTTGGTGGCAGTTCTGCCGCTCATGTGTAGACCGCTACTATGTTTATTGCGGGCTCTGAAACAAGTGCCTTTGAACAAGTGAGCGAAATGGGAAGTGAATACGAAAGCGGAAGAGGGGCTTCCAACCTCCGACTTCCAACTTCCCCGATTTCCCTCTGTGCGTTTCCCACTTCCCACTTCTCACTTCAGAATAAGCTTTTCCGCTGCTCGAGTGCTGGCTTATTTCCAGAAAATCGAGCCAAACTTGAGGCATAATTTCAAAGTCAAAACTGTAATGGGTGACAGGCCACGCGATCTCTAACGGTGTGAAACCTCTGAAATCCTCTTACATATTACTTTAAAATTTTCTGATAGGTGCTTGTCCATTTCTTTAGCTTTGTTTGAATGTAACCGTAATTCATAACAGGCCCAAAATTAGTCTAACCGGAGACTGTTACTGTTACTGTCTGTCTTCTAGGTTGTAGATATGAGGTCACTAGTGAAGGAAGAGGATGAAGTGCCCTCGCCATTGCTGGAAAATTTGGACAGCGGTAACAGTGAAGGGGACCTTCTTCCCAGATATCACGTGATCGGACCCATCAATAGTGTTTACTCGGAGCTGGTTATCAAGGGAATGTGCAGCTAACCTTTACTCACTAGAATAGATTATGTTTACGCGTGATGTAGTGCTTTACTTTGAGCCTGTGGACAAAAACGTAGGAGCGTCTTAGCGATTTGAACGGTTTTTATCTGACATCATTGAAGTCAATAAGAGGCGAACTAGCCTGCGTAATCGGCGGGATCGCTGGCAGAGAAGCTGCGAAGCCTTGCGACTCTCATACGCGCAAAAAAAACTATCAAGTCTAAGAAACAATCCCGCCAACTACGCAGGCTAGAGGCGAACAAGCTAGTTAGGAAACTAACCTATCACGTTTAGAAACTAGGAAACGGTTATCTTGTTTTAGGGGCCCTACCACGCGTTATTTACCCATAACACAGAGAATAAGATGAAGAGATATAATATATTATATACATAATTTATTTTGAATTCAAGGATTTTCATAAAGGTTAGAAATATTTATATTTTCGAAAATGTTAAATTGTTTTATTCCAAGAAATATGTTAACAATGTTGCCGTTGCCTGCTTTGTAAACCTGGTATTTGAGTGGAAGCGAGGCTTGATTTACCTTTTTTGTTGACAGTAGAAGTGTTTGAATTAGAACGAAGTTGCCACGGGAAAATCGGGGATATGGTGAGCCTAGATCCTAGGCTTTTTCCCACTCTCTCGGACAAGCGCAACCCCTAATAAGGTCCTGGTAACGAGCAACGGACACACGGCTTAGATTGACTTGGCACACAACTGTAAAATGAAATATTTATCATTCCAAGAAACTTGTAGGAGTCTGGGCACCACCTTGGCCGCTGGATTTCTGGGATGGTTGAAGTAAGCAGCCTGCGTTAATAAGCTGCGTTAGTTGCCATAGACAGACATAAACCAATAATAGCTCATTCTGCACATCCCAGAAATTTTAATGCTAAAAGCCCGCACTCAATCCCCCTTAGTTTCTGGAAGCTGGTGGTCGAAGCTTATGTGGGGCATTTTATTAAACAATATATTTCCTAGTGTGAAGATTTTCCTGCATGAGCTTATACTGCAAGCTTGCTAGGAGTATTCAGGGAATACAAAAATGATGTATTATAAAGGTTATTTAATTGACATATCGATGTGAAAATAGAACCAAGCGTAGTCGTAGTAATAGGGATAACTGTTAAAAAACCGGGTGTTTGATCTAAGTGGGCTTCAACTCCAACGGGGGTTTTTATTGGACCACAGAAGACCGAAAAGGCCCAGTTTGACAAACATCACTTTAAACTATTAGAAATAGTCTGAAAATAATAATAAATAGTGAAGGAAAAAGGCATCGATAAATTCTGAAAGTTGCAATAGTAAGGTTACTGCGCTCATTGTATTGGCTCTGCTTTGTTCCTGTGCACAATGATGTGTGGGTAACATGCCAAGCGCGCCCACCTCTTTCCCAAGCTACCACGCGCGTAAGCTTGAGGATTCCGGGCGCATAGCAGGCGTCTTGTCTTGGTTGGATAGCGAATATTTAATAAAAATAGTCCTCTTTTCTTGTCTATTTGCTTTGTATCAAGAAGTAAAAAGAAGTATATACACGCGCTTCATTGTTTCTTGAGCTAAATACAGCATAAAGTCGGTGTTTTAAAGCTTTTCAAGTTATTAAGGGTTTGTTTACGTTACATCCAGTGGTGTTTTGGTCATCAACGACGTTGTTTTTCTGGATGCGGGAAATAAAACTGTCTCAGTCGAGGCGTGAGACGTATACTGGTCTTAATGTATTAGGGTGATGAAGAATTAAGGGTCTGGCCAAAAGATACGGCGGATGTTTACTCCACTAAAGGTAGGAAAATCACAGTTACTGTCGCTCGCAATTCACATTGGACGAGGAAGACTCGAAAATTCTATCAAAATGAGATTTGGATTTACTCCGCGCATTTCTGATCAATTGTGGTCTTTTTTTCTTTTCATTATATTCTTTAGTGATAAAAATAAATGGGCAATAGTTGTTAGTTTGTGTTCTTATGATTATCTTCGCTGAGACTTTTCTTTGCAATAATTATTGCCCCAGGACTAATAATTATAAGAAGCGTTTAAGCGAAGAGCTCACGAAATACCCAAGTGCAAAAGTGGAAACCTATTTTCTACGTTTCTTGTTGACAATTTTGGCAAATCCTCTGCAGAAAAATGATAGGCCATAAAATATTATTTTGCCACACGCTCTGATATCTCTCGCGTTGACTTTGTAGTGCGTGCTTGCCAAATCTTTGAGCTGAATGCGCCATCGGCAAATTTGTAAAGATCAATATAAATGATAAATCGTCCCTGCTGCTCACAAAATTGATGACACCTTAGAGTCCGTTTAACTCCCCATGGCCAAGGCGTCATGAATCTTATTAAGTGAGGTGAATTTGCATGTAGTTTTGTTTATGAGTGTTTTTCTTTCTTTCTTTCCCCCTTTAGATAATCCATGAAATAAGTTAACTCTTATTTCAATACTTACATTGATCGTGCTTTAATAGCGCTACTGTTAAAAGTTGGTGTCAATTTTAATTTTTGAAAAATCTTTTTCTGAGAAACCCTCAACCTAGGATAGCCGGAAGTCTCTTCCTCAGTCGTCGTAGCCGAATTTGCTAATTTTACAAAAGTGAACGAATTAATTAAAGCTTTTCAATTTGCGATTATAGTGAAACATTTGCGGTCAATGTAACTTTCGAAAATTCTCGAGGGATCTATTTGCCGACTGCCCTCCAACGCCAGTCGTAAAAAGATCTTCTAAACGGTACATCCCCCCTTAGTTAAAACAAGCTGGTTTGTTGAGTCTAAATCCCATAAATTACAAAACCTAATGCTGGAGTAGTTATAAACGACTGACCTTGTTTGATGACACCACTTCTAAAAGCACAAGGAAGTAAACTGAGGTTCGATTATTTCCGCAGAGGAGAGACATTCTCTGTTTAAGTAAGCCCTTGTAAGTAATAAGATCGGTCTATTATGAAATGTTTTGGTTATCAGATTTTGATTATCAGAACTTCAACAACACTGAACTACAAAACACTTTTTCTAAAAAAAACTGTAGTTTTTGCAATTTTTTTACACGTCGCAAATTAGACGATTACCACTGAATTTGCGCAAGTTCAGACGTTCAAATTGCTCTAAACCAATCTAAGTTTCTTTGTGACGAACGCATCATTAGCCTCACCGCAAGAGATGACAGCCATCAAGGGTAATAGTGAATTGTGGGTTTTTTATCATTCAAAACCTACCCAGTATGATTAAACATTTCAATTGGTTCTTCAATCGAGATTTGTTTGCTCGTAGTTGCTTTGATCTCGCCCAGAAATTCTATTTCTTCTCGAGAAATCGCTCAATGAAGTTGTTGAAGTTTGTTGAAGTTCTTTAAAGTAAGTGATTTTCAGTTTTGTCATTTTTAGAGAGCTTAAGCAACCACAACGACGACGGCAGTGAACACGTCGCTAAAAAATGAATTTGCGTCCCTTCAAACTTTATCGCGTCTATTTGGACCCGCATGAAGGTCATTTTTTCCTGGAGTTGAATCCTTAAGGACTTTATCCTAGTTAAAAATAGATGTTCACGTCCTTAGCGAAACTTCGCACTGGGAAGTCGTGCAGTGAACGTCAAACAAATGTACTAAAGAGGTCAAAAAAGCGTGATGCACGTGCAGTGCTGTTGCCAGTGTTTTTCTAACGTTGTCGTTATCATTGTCCATGCCTTATCATGTCATTTTTCTGATGATTCACCCTTTCCAAGCGTGAAGAGCAAAGGTTTTTCCTTCTGTTGTTGCGGATGATCCATTTCAATTTTATAGTTTCCCTATCGGCTTGGTTCAGAGACGGAGCTTTCCTAATTTTTATTGTTGTGTTTTAACACCTCTAGTATAGCTCAAGATTGAATAGAGGGTGAAAAAGAACATAGAAAATTACTTAAAGGAAAAATATATTATTATCAAAAAGTTTCCTATGAATGGTGATCAGCAAATCTAGGTTTTTTAGAACACGAAAGAAAAGCTAACCAGTCACGTCCCGAAGCTGATTTTTGGACAACCTCGTCAAATTACAATGACGTCATTCTTCAAGCGAGCAAAAACAGTGCGTTATGCTATACGCATGTCGACGCATGAGTCGAAACAAGCTTTCCCACTGGTACGGAGAGAGCTTGCTCGCGGGCTACGGCTGGTTGCGTTCACACTCTAAAATCAGAAGCGCAGACGCGAAGGGCCGTTCTATGAACTAAAATCACCTTTGCTAATAATTTCACCTTTATTTTTCATTCTCTTTATCTTGTAGATGACAGTGTTTTTTGGTATAAAAGGAGATCAGGTGGTCTGTCTCCATGTGAGGAGATCCACAACTCCCGAAGTTGGTTACCCCGCGATAGTTTCTCCCTCGTTAAAAAGGTTGGCATTCCACAGAACCACCAACCATTGTTGCTATTTAGACAGAACACAAAAGCATAGCACTTTTTGCAAAGAGGTGAGTGACCGTGAAAAAAGTCGCCAAATGAAAAGTAATCCAAGACAGTCTTGGATAGGATTCTGGATTCCACACTGTTGATTCAGGATTCCAGGTACTGAATTCCGGTTTAACTTGTTTGTCAATGGTATTTGGATTTTCCAACCGTTAGCGAGAATCCGGGTTCCTTAAGCTGAATTACGGATTCCAAAGCCCAGGATTCCGGATTCAACAAGTTACAAATGCCTCAGTGAATAAGGAATCTGGATTACCATACACGGGGACAAAAGAGCAAGGTTTCTCATGATCACCGTATATTGTATATATTGTACCGTAGTTGGTTACAATTAACAATTATTCTTTGAAATCGAGGTGAAAGCTTTGAGGTAAATATTCCTAAAGCCATTATTTACTGAGATTGAAAAGAACAAGAATGTTCTTAGTAGCGTTGAGTCTCGCTTGCTTGGAGCCCATGGGGCTTGGCGAAAAGTTTTCTTGTCAAAGGTGCTGTGGTGCTGTTATGCTACTTTTTCGTTTTTAATACAAAACAAGTGTTATATGTCATAATGTAAATACTCAAAACGTAAAAATTTTACATCGGTGTGAGACCTTCGAAAATCTTTTCATTTGATATTGCTCCAGTCAGAAGAACTCTTTGAGGGATTTTACACTCCAAATATTTAACGACGGGTAGTTGAAGTTGCTTCCAGTAGTAGTCGAAGGTTAAATCATTGATATCTCAAGTTTTATAAAGTGCAACGTGACTTCACTTCTTAACAACTGCGAAAAACTGTTAATTAAATACATGCAACAAAGTGAATCTATTTAACCGTAGGGTTCCAGTAATTGCGACAATATTCTGAGAAACGCCACGCATCGATACACCACAAAACAGGATTTCCTCGCTGTAACATTTACTTTTTAATTCGCGTGCATAATTACAAGAAAAACAAGGGCTTCGGAATCGGGGAAAATTACATCATTGCCAAACAGCGAAAAACGTGATCAACTTATACGCCTCATTTCAGTCATAGCCGAAAATAAGCCTCATGCTCATTACGGGACTCATTTGTATACAATGAAAGTCGTCACGATTCTTGTCCCCAGTTTCCACGGTCTCTGCGAGGAACGCCTGGGACATCGCCTCCTAATTAGTGCCCACCGACAAAGAAAAATTGAAAAAAGAAACGCCTGCATTTTTTAGAGTCTCGCTCTGCTAAAGCAGGCTCGACTAATAATTGGTTTAGTATACACACACGAAGTGATCTCAACAAAATCAGAGAGGAAACCATTAAAAAGTACGATCTGATTGACGGACCAAATCACGCGAAAGTTTAAAAATAGATCTTTGCAGAATTTTCAATATGTCAATTCACAAGTTTATCACGCACTTCGGCTTAAATGGAACCGTTGAAAGTTTTTATTGTTTCCTTACCTGAGAAGAAAAGTAGAACTTTGTTGTAGTTCTGTTGACTCGCCAAGTTTATAGCCAAAAGGGTTTGTTGCGTCGTTCTTCGCATGAAGTGCTGAGAAAAATGGCGGCTCGGTTGTTCAAGGTAAGACTTCGTCTTCCTGTAGCATTCTTTTTTCGATTTACTTGAAACGTGGAACTTCTGCAGACATTTGCTTTTAAAATTTGTTTGTGTTAAATAAACTTCGATTTTTGGGCCAAATTTTGTTGTTAGGAAACGCTGAGTTCACGAAACGGCTTCTTGTACGCGAAAAACCGGGAGTTGTAGACAAACCATCGAGCACAAATCTCAGCTACAGTAAACGGAAAAACGCCGTTTTGAATCGTTCCAAGTCTTTTCTTGCTTTAAAAGAAGTCAACCCTAGGATTTTGTCGACTTTTAAAAGATCGTTTTCTAAAAAAATGGGAAAAACACCGAGCTCACACATTATCCACTCGCTAGAAGTTGATTAATTTTTGAATAGTCCGAGAAAGCGAACCAACCAGATTGCTTAAGTCACCAAGATCACTGAGTGTGTATGTACTAATTACGATTGTACTCATTTCATATATATGAGTACAATAACCCCATACCGAACGCGGTCAGGACGAGCTCAACCGGTAGAGCGCTGGACTGCAGTGAGGGAGGTCGCGGGTTCGAAACTGGGGACTAGACCCAGTGTGGACCAATAGGGTCTTTAGAACTACACCGAAAAATGAAGGTTGTTGTTGTTGTTTCAACGAATTTTCAACATTGTGTTCAAGCGTTTTTACTGCTTCTGGAAATTTGAAATTTCTGTATCACCACCGTTCAGCTTATCATATTTTTTCCTCTGAGTTTTCGTCTTTTCTTTTATCGCACAGAGAAAAAATGCCGGAATGGTAGTTCCCTGCCTCCTCCTCAGGTTTCCCAAGGCTAAGCGAGAGAAGAAAGCGAGAAACAACGAAACAACAAGCGCGAGAGGAGGATGATGGGAACGATCGCAGAGCGCGAGCGGGGAGTGATGAGCGATGGGCATTTTCTTCTCTTCCAATCACTTCCTTCGTCCGCGCTTTTCTTCATAATAGGGAGTTTAAGCAGCGACGTTTTGGAGCGACGCACATTTACCGGAAGTGGACTTTTTGCACTCTTGAGCTGCAATTTTCAACAAATTTTTGGGCAAATTGTCTCTTGAAGAGTAAAGGCACTTAGCAATGCAGAGTTGAGAGCGTCAAGGCACACAAAATAGAGAAAGGCTTGCTTCCGGTTGACGTGCCTCGCTCAAAAACTGAGCTGCTTAAACTCCCTAACATATTAACTCAATAGGCCCTTTGCAGCTGGGGTCACGTGATCAAATCTTTCCTTAAAAAATCTATATTATGGGGCATAACTTAAACAATGCGGGAGATGGAAAGAGCATATCGAATATACCAAAATGGTCAAGTTTGGGCCCATGGGCTTACAGAGTACTGTTTATACAGCAGTTTGAACTCTCGGAAAATTAAGAGGATTTCTATGGAAAATGTTGCTGGAGAGCAAGGCCATGCTCTCCAACAACTTTTTCCATACAAATCTTCTTATTTTTTTAAAAATTAAGACTGTCATAAAATCTCATTATTGAATGATGGGGGCCTCAGACTTGGCCATTTTGATATTTTCGGCATGCTTTTTCCATTTATGAAACTTGCTAAGTTATGGCCCATAATTTTATGAAAAGTAGGTCACGTGATGGCTTAGCTGCAAAGGGCCTATTGCAGATATCCCCCAAAAAGTGATCGCCTGGGACTGGGGACGTGGCAGGTTAGTTACGGGAAACAAACTGATTGGTCGTAGATTTCATGTCCGTAATGTGGATGTTCTTTGAAGGAAGCTGTATATTGTATCCTGTTTATTAAAAAATGAAATCAGTTAAATCCACACTGTACTCTCCTTCCGTGTTATCCGCGATCAGACATTTTATATAGCGAGCCAAGTGTTTAGTCGGTAAGGGCAAATGCAGTACGGGTGATTTCGTTTTAGTTCAGTTTAAGTCAGTCAGTCGTTTACTTCCGGTTTCTGACCGGATGTACCCATGTGAAAAAGACGTAATTATTTCACTCTTGTTTAGTTTTAATTTTTGTCTTGTCCTCCACTATAGATATGCTGGTTTTTTTTGACGGATTATGTTTGGACAATAGTAGATCGATATCAGGTCAAAAAATGCCGAGTCAGTTCGAGATAGCGTGACTCGTGAAAAGTCACTGATATACTTGAAATATTTCATTTCCTTCCCTTTTGTTTTCTTAAAACAGGGGGCAAAACTGTAGGTGTATTTTTAATGAGTTTTCATCGGTTAAATGGCAGCCGGAAAAAACGAAACTTCTTTCTCTTTATTGAAGCATTGAAAAATTTGCCAAAATTTAAGGTACAACTGTTTTTCATCACTGATTTTTCTTTTAATTGCTGGAGAACTATTTTGGATATATATGTATTCAATTTTTAAATTGTGAAGTTGTATCTCCATAATCACAAGCGCAGCATGATCGTGCTTCAAAGACGTGACGGAATTTTGGAGATTTGCGTTTTTCGGCTATGAAGTCACGATATTATCTACAACTGAGTGGGTTACGTACAATCTTTCCGGTCAAACCATGACAAGCTTCCCGTTTTTTATTGAACTAACGCAAAAATAACCATTTCCATGAGAATAATTTCCGTATTTTAGTCCCTAACTTCGTAACCACGACAACGTATTGATAACTTTTTTCCCAGAGTTCTTTGGGAAAGTCGAGTGCGAGCTCGAACGTTCTTGTAAATCACGTGACACAACTTTTCTTTCAAGAAAATAGTCATGGCGGCCTGGGATAGCAATGCTCAACATACGCTAGCTTTTGAAGATCTCGACGAGAATTGCACAAATCACGAGACGGAGGTAATTTTCGAGGCATGTAAAGTCTTGCTAGGACTGTTCCAGAGGTTTAGTGAGGCAGATTGGGCGAAGTTTTTGCTGGATTACTTCTTTCGTGCAGAGAGCTGGCGACCGAGTGTTGTTTTGTTTTGCTCGGCTGCATAAATTGTTATCGGATCAAGCAGAACTCACCTCATAAATGTTGTGTTCATCTCTTTTGCAGGAGAACAGCATACAAAAGGTGATCAAGCTGTACAAGGAAAATCTCGACAAGATAGAAGGACAATTTTTAAATTTGCAACATCCTCCATCGATATTTTTTGAGGTGGGTGACAATTTTATTAGGCAGCCAATTGCAACCAGTGTGTGCTACGTATCAGCACTATGTAAGCCCTTGCTCGAAGGAAATATTGCAAAGTCTAACAGCAGTTTTTATCTCTGGAAGTGTTGGATTTTATTTATATTAATATATATTTACATTTCACGTTAAGTTAAATGTAGAATTTCGCGTAGTATTGTGTGAGCTTTGGTCCGATATGAATCGAAATCTCGGCAACAGCACGTTCGTCTTGCAATTTTATGTTTATAATATTTCTGTAGTTTGATAAATTTCGGTGTCTGGGTTTATGTGTTTTTATTGAATTAAAGGTTCAAAATTTCAGCTTTTGCTTTGCAGTGCATTAAATTAAACTCGATACAGCATACTAGTTCAGCCGTCCCTTCCCTCTCATTTTGATTTGTTACTTTACGATGTAAGCCTCGTTGAGAAAAGTTTAACCTGCGATGTTAAAGCTCCAGTCCATCAAAGTCATCGCCCTTCGTTGCATGTAATCTTGCGCAGTATCTTTGCCCAGTTTATCTGTTTAATGTGTGAACTTCCGATTCATCAGACTGTACGTATGCTGCGTCGAGACTGTACGTTTGTCGAACAGATCAGAGGGCATATTGTGATATTTAGCAGAGTTGGACCAAATAATGACTTCTTTTATACACGAAACTGACAAGGCATAGTAATACTGGAAGTAGGGAACCTTGGT